CAGGGCTCTGCAGGGTGCTGCAGGGTGCTGCAGGGCGCTGCAGGGCGCTGCAGGGTGCTGCAGGGCGCTGCAGGGTGCTGCAGGGCTCTGCAGGGCGCTGCAGGGTGCTGCAGGGTGCTGCAGGGTGCTGCAGGGCTCTGCAGGGTGCTGCAGGGTGCTGCAGGGTGCTGCAGGGCTCTGCAGGGCTCTGCAGGGTGCTGCAGGGTGCTGCAGGGCTCTGCAGGGTGCTGCAGGGTGCTGCAGGGTGCTGCAGGGTGCAGCAGGGCTCTGCAGGGTGCTGCAGGGTGCTGCAGGGCTCTGCAGGGCAGCAGGGAAGGCCCGTGGGCAGCGGCAGCGCCGGCGTCAAGGCCCAAGGGGAAGAGCAAACGCGAAACGCGGTCGCATCCGCAGGGCGTGGGCGCCGTGCCGGGCGGAGCGGAGTTATTCCCTGAATCCCGAAAAGGCCGTTGTCATTAACTGCTTGTTATTAGGTTTACAAAGATATAACTACTGCTAGGATTGTTCCCGTGGCCAAACAGTGTGTCCCTTTGAGGCGGGGGGCAGGGAGCTTAGGGCAAAAGCCCAACAGCAAAGAGAGCCCCTGGGGCGCAGTGTTTCTGCCTGTCCCAGGAACATCCAGCCTGGAGCTCAGCCCATCCCGGCCTGGCCAGAGCGGGTGCCTTCGGCAGGGAGCACCCAGGGCAGCTCCRGCACCGGGGCCGCGGGAGCCGCTCGCTGCTGGCACCGGCTGCAGCCAAGGGCTCTTCCTGCGAGGGGCAACAGCCTTCCCGGCTCACCCGTCTGCTCCAGTGGGAAATGGGAGGCTTGGAAAAGCCGGCTTGCTTTTAACGCTGTGCTGGATAGCAAGGGAAGGCCCCCCACCCCTCTCCTCTGCTTCTCATTTGTGCCTCCCCCTGCGTTTGGCCCATCACCGTTCAAAGCCCCACTCTGCAGTTCCCATCCTGCGGAGGGAGTTGCGGAATACGCCCGGCTGCGTCCCTTAGCACGGGCTAGATGTGGGAATTGCTGGATACATTTGCCTGGCGTGTGGTAGCCGCCCGGCCGGATCAGATCGGCCATCTGGCTGCTTCTGGACTCCGAACCTCTGATTCTTTAACGGCCACGAAACCTCCTTCCCCCACGGCGGGAGGCGCCG